ATTTAAAAGGAAAGCGTATCTTATCTAAGTTAGATGTGTGGTGGTAGGTGAGATGGTAACGCGTGCAAGAGCTGAAGTGGGAGGTCGTAGGTTCGAATCTCCACAGCTGCAACTTTTTTACCCAATAAACACCTCTACTCCCGGTTGGAGGAACCGGGACTAAAAATCAAGACCTTTAGTCCCGATTGCATAGTCCCGGTTCCAAAACCGGGATTAAAGGGAGTTGAGAACCGTGACTACAGCTAGGTTCTCTACTAGTGATTCTCTGGTCTAAAGTTTAGTTGACTAAAGTTGAGGACTAAAACTTTTGATCACTTTAGCTCACTTGTGTAGTCTAAAGTGTTTTTGAGGTTAGCTAAACTTTAGACCTCTGGTTTGGAGCCTCAAGAGTTAAAGTGATCTAAAGTTTAGTGGCTAAACGTACTTTAGACCATGGGATCAAACATGGTCTAAATATAATCGGTCAGTGGATTTAGCTTCATGCTTTTTAGGACATCATACATTTTGGAACATATGTACTGTTTTTAATAAACCTTTACCCTTTTCAATTTACCGCAGCTTACCATCTAATTACATACCTCTTCTCCTTCTAAAGAGAGTACATAAACACCTATAATAATAATAAGACTGGAATTCCTTATCTTGGCAACAATAATATATATTCTGCCTCAATTCACAAAACATGATTTTTTTTTGGGTTGCGTGCAGTAAATCTATTCAAACTTGACCATCGGTTACTTTTTGTGTACATTAAGATTAAACATTTGAAAATGGTAGGAGTATATATATGCAAATAATGAAATTACTTTTATAGTTATCTAGTTTTGTTAGTTTGTTTGTTATAGAAGTTGCTCGACCAAACTGCGTTTTGTTGGTCTTTTTGATCGATCCGTGTTGATGTTCAAAATGTCACTCAGATTTCTGAAAAAAAAAACAGAAAGTGGTATGAGCATCTGCTTGAGTGACACTTTATTCCTAGCTCATACTTTGAGTCCAGAGGGGAAGATCCTAGCCGTACACGCTTCCGGATCGACTGTGTCTCCATGCAGATACACTTGCTCCAGGCTCCGGCCAGATCGATCATTCATATTGTTACCAATCGATCGGTTGATGAGGCCCTGCAGCTGTTCTCAAAAGATGAGAGGCCACATCTATCCATCCACCAGACGCGGATCAAATCGATCGATCGCTGTATCATCATCATTGCCTACTGTGGCATGCAGCAGGGCCGGGGATGATTATTCCCGGTGGCAGTTTCTTGTTTGCATGCAATACACATGAATATCCATTTTATATACTCCCGGGATTAGTTACTTCCATAATCAATAAATCACATTACGTATGTATATATACTCATTTATCAGTTTGAGTACATTGACATATTAACATTAAGATACTCTAGATCTTTACTATGTGATTTTTTTTTTCAAAAGAGCACATATTTTTTAATATATTATATAATACTATGATAGAAGCCTATAAAATAAGTATAACTACATACTCTAAGTATACATATATACTTGTCATACATAGTATCCTAGACGGTCTAGTATGATGATATACTCCATCTACATATACTTCGTTGGGCCATATACGTCCTAAATCTAGAGATATACACATAGGAGTAACTACTCCTTGGGAGTAGAAAATAATTTATATATATATATATATATATGCCATTGTACTGGGCGGTATATGTGGACATGCCACTAGCTAGCGTGTTTGTTGCCTGCTGGTACATTTTTTTTCTCATATGTTAATATGGTATGTGAGTTTCAAGCTTCCAAAAATTGTTTGCACCATCCTTTATATGCCTTTATTAGTTGGACTTGATGCTAGCTTCATGATGGTTCGGAATTTGGAAGTAGAAAGGATTCAGAACAAAACACTACTAAAAACATTTGCATAGACTGGTAAAATCAATTTGTAGAGGCGGTTAAAATAATGGTGTAGCTAGAACGTTAAACTAGATGGTCTAACCACTAGTAGAGAAAGAACTTTTCGTCGATATGGCCAAAAAAGTATTTAGTCTCAGTTTAAAATTGCAACCAGGACTAAAAGGAGGCATGTGACCTTTAGTCTCGGTTTGCAATACAAACGGGAACGAATTCCACCCTTCAGTCCCTTTTGTAACGGTCACCAAGGCATGTCGTTGGTGTGGGAGGGCTTTATTCCCGGTTTGAGACACAAACACGGACTAAAGGTATCTTTTTAGTCCTCAAACCGGGATTAAAGGTGCCTCCAGAGTGAATTTAAAAGGAAAGCACATCTTGTCTATGTTAGATGTGTGATGGAGTTGAGATAGCAACACACGCAAGGATCGAGGTGGGAGGTCTTGAGTTTGAATCTCTCCACCCCATCTTTTTTTACTCAATAAACACCTCCCGGTTGTAGGAACCAGTACTAAAATCGAGACCTTTAGTCCCTTCAATAAACACCTTTAGTCCCGGTTGTAGAAACCAGGACTAAAAATCGAGACCTTTAGTCCCGATTGCATAGTCCCGGTTCTCAAAACCAGGACTCAAGGGGGTTGGGAGCCGGGACTAAAGGCCATTTCTCGAGTAGTGAACTTAATATACTTTTTCGTTAATTAACAATATAAATGTAACACAATACAATGCAAACAAATTAAAGGGGTCTTACCAATATCTTAAAATGAGCAATAAACTCTAACATTTGTTTAAAGTAGCTTACTACCTAAGTACTTACAATATCTTGATCCAAATACTAGGTTGGTCCGTGGCTCTCACATGGATTAACCCCTAGCTACGTCCATATATAGATGTAAAAACCACAAAGATTTTTAAGGGGAAATATGTGTTTGCTTGGATTCAAATATAGGACCTCTCTCTCTCTCTCTCTCTCTCTCTCTCTCTCTCTATATATATATATATATATATATATATATATATATACACGTAGCATCCTTAAAATCCAACAACCTACACATACTTTAATTGCCTGATAAAGGGTGCTATTCTCTTGAATTATCCCTACCTAAACTTTGTATTGCTTATTTGGCACCCTAAATGTTCCTGAATAAAAAAAGCATAATCAACAACATAGTTGTAGATTCTGTTGATCACTACAACTTTGTTATAGAGGAAGTTTCGATATGAGATTGTCTGAAATTTTTCAAAACTAGAATTTCAAAATATGAGACCTTATAACAAATATATCTATAAGTAATCCCTTAAATCTAGATCTGAATCACCCACGTATTAATCTATTGTTAAAAAATTACCACTAAGTACCCCAATCAATTCTTCTAACCTATCCACTTCCATCATTATTAATTAATATTAAAGAAATTAAACCCATATATGTTGTGTGCTACCATTTTGACCAGGTATACATCCTTGCATGAGTGATAAAGTACATATATATACATATAGTGACTATCTTGTTATAATAAACACAAGATTATGATAAGTACATAAGATAGAGTATTTATCATAAAATAAACATTGACTATTTATTATAAGTACATATATACATATAGATTATCTATATGAGTATTATATGTTAGAAAATAAACAAAAAGAAGTATAAACAATTTTGATTTGTTGTGGGGCCTAAATTAATTCTGAATTACTAATATTTATGTCTTCTAAGATTTGTATCCGGCCCATGCATAGTGGTGCATAGGATGGTGGACTATGGTGAAATATTCCTAAAAGGATAACCAACTAGATGCATGTTAGCTTAACACAAACACAAGATATACTAAAAGTGTCTTACTCTCCGAGAAATGGATGACAAACATTAGTGTTTTTGCCAAGTGTTCGTGTATATATACTCCCTCTGTCCCACAATAGTAGAAATCAATGCTCAAGGTAAAAGATCTTAGTACCTCTAGAAATAGAGATATAAATATTGAGAAAAGAAAAAAAGTATATTGAGAGAAGAGAGAGGTGCATTCGAAAGTGATAATGAGAACTATATATTTTGATACAAATTTGAATGCTATAAGGTAAATTGTTTTGGGACCGAGGGAGTAGTGAAAATTATGTTGCCGCATGCGCGGCCCGAGATCTCTTGGAAATTAAAAGGTGAAACAGTTTACCAACAAGCAGTGCAAGGAGCAAATGGAATCTGCGCTGCTCTGGGGCAAGCATCCCATCGCATCCCACATATTCGCCCTCTTCCTGCACCAAGGTCGGCCATATTTGGCAAACAGGCACAAAAAAAAAGTTTGCTCGGCACACAAAAGCAGAGACGATCGATGAATGCACAAAGATCTTTCCACAGGTTCTAAATCTGAGGAGGCTCAGCCTGCATTGCTCACTTTGATGCATATGGAGTATCGGAATTAGGGCTAACAAGGTTCAGCATTAGTTTTCTTTTTTAGAGGCTGCGGTGCAGGCTCTGCGCGCCGCTGAGTTGTTGATGACACAAATGCATATGAGCACATGAAACAAACAAACAATCTAGTTACAGATAATGTGCAGTTAGCTTGTACTCCTAGTACTAGTAGGCTCCTAGTACTAGGTGCTGCTACTTGAAAATGAGCAGCGATAAAGTGTTGTAGACAGAGACAGGTGAGAGGAGAGCGATGGAGAGAAAGAAAGCTGACCCGGTCGCTTTGTATCTGCTTTGTCAGCACATGCCATACCCACTTTTTCACACCACAAAATCCACTTTGGACCAAAGAAAAAAAAACCCTCTAAAAAGAAAATAAAAACAACTGAGCCCTCCCCAGCAAGAAAAGCACAAACCCAAACACCAAAAAAACCATCCAGACTTCACCTCCATCAGCAGAGCATTCAGTAGCAGCTAGGAGTAGTACACACACTACTGCACCTGCAAAAAGATAAACACAGGCAACACAAAACCAGGCAGCTAGCATATAAAGCAGCAGCAGCAGTTGCTCACCTAGAGACACATTGAGTTGAGTGACCCCTCATCGACCACCCATCGTTTCTGATTTCTCCTGCGCTTAATCCAGCAAGACAAGATAAACGCCTGGGCTTTGCTTGATCTGCCAAGGGACCGGAGGGATGAGAGCCGGGGGCTGCACGGTGCAGCAGGCGCTGGCGCCGGAGGCGGCGGTGGTGGTGAAGCAGGCAGTGAGCCTGGCGCGGCGCCGCGGGAACGCCCAGGTGACGCCGCTGCACGTGGCCAGCGCCATGCTGCACCAGCAGGTGGCGGCGGCCACGGGGCCGTCGTCGGCGGGGCTGCTGCGCGCCGCGTGCCTGCAGTCGCACTCGCACCCGCTACAGTGCAAGGCGCTGGAGCTCTGCTTCAACGTCGCGCTCAACCGCCTGCCGGCCTCGGCCTCGCCGCTTCTCGGCGGGCACGGCCACGTCTACTACCCGCCGTCGCTCTCCAACGCGCTCGTCGCCGCCTTCAAGCGCGCGCAGGCGCACCAGCGCCGGGGGTCCGTCGACACGCAGCAGCAGCCTGTGCTCGCCGTCAAGATCGAGCTGGAGCAGCTCGTCATCTCCATCCTCGATGACCCCAGCGTCAGCCGTGTCATGCGCGAGGCTGGCTTCTCCAGCACCCAGGTCAAGGCCAACGTCGAGCAGGCCATCTCTTCCATCGAAGCAAACAACTCTGCTGTTTCCACCAACACCAACACCGCCGCCGCCGCGCCCCAAAACCCTAACCCTAGCGCAGCTCCACCCGAAGAGACCAAGCCTGGTAAGCTGCTGCTACCCCTCGATCAAGTGCGCGACGAGGACGTCGCCGTCATCCTGGACTGCCTTGCCTCCCGGAGCAAGAAACGCGTCATGGTCGTCGCCGAGTGCGCGGCCTCGGCCGAGGCGCCGACGCGGGCGGCGGTCGAGAAGATCAAGCGCGGCGAGGCCCTGCGCGGCGCGCAAGTGGTCAGCCTCAGCGTGTCCAGGTTCCGCGATCTGCCGAGGGGCGAGGCGGAGAGGCTTCTCGTGGAGCTCCGGTGCGCAGTGAAGGTCGGCGGCAGGGCCGGCGGCGTGGTGTTGGTCGTGGAGGACCTCGGGTGTGCGGCCGAGTTCTGGGCCGCGCGCGCCGAGTCCGGGAGGGCCAGGTGGCCGTCGAGTTGCTGCTACTACTGCGCCGTCGAGCACGTCGTCGCGGAGGTGCGCGCCCTGGCGTGCCGCGGCGGCGACGGCGTCTGGCTCATTGGCTACGGGACGTACCAGAGCTACATGAGGTGCAGAGCCGGGCAGCCCTCGCTGGAGAGTCTCTGGGGGCTCCAGACGCTCGCCGTCCCCGCTGGCAGCCTCTCCTTGAGCCTCAACTTCGTCGGCGACAGGTAATCATTCATGTTCGCATCTCAATTTGATTGAAATTTGAGACAATGCGTGGCAAACAGTAGTAATAGAATAACAGTACAGTACTCGATCGATCGGCAAAATGCATATATGCAGACGTACTGATGAATCATGGGGTACCTGATCGACTGACGAAATTAACTTATCACTTTGGGTTCTCTGTCTGGCAGTGCAACTGCAATGGCAATCAATCACCAGTCGATCAGGAAGATGGCCAAGTGCGACGACGACAGAAGTGGGAACGGATCGGCGCCACGTTGCCTGTCGCTTTTGGACACCGGTGGTTCCGGCCACCTCACCGCCATGTCCAGCTTCTGCGCCGACGACTGCTCCGCATCCAAGTGCGACCACCCGGCGGTGAAGTCGAGTATCCCTCCTTGGCTTCAGCATTGCCGGGATCAGGTAAAGTGCACGTCTAACGAGCCTACTAGGCTAGGCTACCATTATAAAAATTTAACATGTGACTGGATGATACTTAGTAACTATGCTGTGCAATGTGCATAATGCAGGATCCTTCCCGTTGTAAGAAAAGCTCGACATGCGGTGGCTCGCCGTCTCATCATCACCGGACGGCCCTAAACTTCTCCACGGTGGTGTCGCCGTCCTCGTCGGTCTCGTCGTACGAGCAGCACTACCACCTGCACCAGCCGTATCAGCCATGGCTTGTCGTCGCTGACGCCCACGAGGCCAATCACCCGTGTAGCAAGGCCAGGTGCACTGCCGTGCAGCTGCACGTCGACGATGAGGACGTGAAGCTTCTAAGCGCGATAAAGGTCAAGTCCCACGACTCGAGCGCGTCCAATGGCTCGGTGGAGTGCCGCTCCCGGTTCAAGGAGCTCAGCGCCGAGAACCTTAAGGTCCTCTGCTCCGCGCTGGAGAAAGAGGTGCCGTGGCAGGCGGAGATCGTGCCTGAGATCGCGAGCACGGTCCTGCGGTGCCGTTCCGGCATGGCGAGGAGGCGCGACGCCGCTGTTTCGAGTTCGAGACCGGCGTGCGCCAAGGAGGACACGTGGATTCTTTTCCACGGTAGCGACGCCGAGGGCAAGGCGAGGGTGGCCAGGGAGCTGGCCCGCCTCGTCTTCGGCTCGCGCAAGAGCTTCGTATCCATCGGCGGCAGCGGCACCACCGCGCAGTCTCCGGCGCGGTCCGACGACTCTTCCGAGCAGCAGCGCAAGCGGCCCCGGTTGACGGAGGCGATAGACTACGGTTGTCACGAGAGCCTCTACGAGGCCGTACGCGACAACCCGCACCGCGTCATCCTGGTAGAGGACGTCGAGCAGGGTGGCTGGCGGTGCCAGAGGGACATTTTGGAGGCCATCCAAAGCGGCTTGGTCCGGAGCCATGCCGGCGGCGACGAGGCAGCACTCGGCGACGCCATCGTCGTTCTGAGCTGCCGGAGCTTTGACGCGTGGTCGACAACCTCCTCGCCACCAACGACCAAGAAAGCGAAGGCGAAGAGCGAGGAGGAGCCGAAAGAGGAAGAGAGCACAGGTGACCACCACGGCAAGGAAGCCGTAGCTGCCACGGCTGCGTCGCCGTCGTCTTCACCTTGCTTTGATCTGAACATGGACGTTGAGAACGATGACTTGGAGAGTTGCTTCACTGATGCTAGTCTTCTCAAGGCAGTGGATCGGACGTTCTTCTTCAGACGACCTGATGAGAGTAGTGATTAGTTTAGTGACAAATGACATATGTTAACTATTTTTTTCTCTTTTGTTCTTCTCTGTAACGTTGTTCAGTTTCTTGTAGCTTGTTTCTAAGATGTTTGTGTTGGAAGAATGGAGCTTGCATGTGGAAATTAATCAAGGGCAAAGATTGGATGAGCTAAAAGAAAAAGGTTGATTGATGTGTTGCTAAAACCAGCCATTAGCCCATCTGATTCCGAATAAGTGGAGCTTTGTGCTCTACAAGCTTAGAAACACACACGATCTCATAGATGCCTTGAGTTTTGCCCGAGCTTCATTTGAGCTCCGGGGTGGAGGGCTAATAGCTGAGCTAAAATTTTGGCCACATACATTCTAGCCATTAGAACATTAGATATGTGAAAGAATGCATCATGAGTTTGTTCCAAATCAAAAATTCCAAAAGAAGATATATATTTTGCAAACTGGGCCTCAGAAGACTGGCATTTGGATTACTAGCTTGTCAACCCACGCTCTAGCATGGTTTATAATCTATGGTACATAAAGTTTTGTGGATAAATTAGTGCGTAAAATTAATCAAAATTGATTCATTGCTCTCATTTTCTGTTCATTTCCTAACACAATACTCACTTTCATACTCTATAACATTGATTTGGTTGTGATAAATTTATCAATTACTCTATATGTAATTTCATGCTTTGCATTGCACATTTATGGGGTTTAATATGTATTTAGTTGAAATGCTAGCTTAATGAGAGATGAAATAGAGAAGTGCCTCGATCTCATCCATTTATGATGAATGATTGATGCAAGAGTTAAGAGGTTCGAGGCTTTCCTATTTGAGTCCATATTCACATGTGCTTGATTATGCTAATGGCTAACAAGAGGTGATGTGTTGTGTTGCGTTGAGTGTGTTGTGCAACATGTCTCTTGGCTTGTGAATATAAAGGCGTTGGGTGTGCCAAGATGATCGATGGCAATAGAGAAGGTCAAGTGTTTGAGTCCGTGCGGGATGGATCGAAAGTGGTGAATGGCGGACAAAAGGCTTGGACTGAGGGACCAGAGACCAAAGAAAGGTCCATGTGTGGCTCACATTGGGCACATGAAGAGCAAGAGTATATGGGTGATGGAGACTGTGTCAGCCAAGTCAAGGAGGAGGACAATGGCATCGTGGCTCTATGGCAGAGGTAGGACACGCATCTACAAGGGTGATGAAGATGGTGTCGATCAAGTCAAGAAGGAAGGCGAAGGTGTCAACCTTGGTAGAGGCCAGACACATGTTAACACCAGTGAATCACGCGTGCATTAGGATTTGCTGGTTTGGGCCTCAAAACTAGGCATAGACAGTTTGGCGTGGTTTGGGTGTTAAAACCATGGACGGCGAGTTTGACTTGTTTGTAACTCAAACTAGAGAGTGGCCAATTAGGAGACACATGATGGCATCACAAAGCTTGCGTCAAGATGAAGCAAAGTCCAAAAGGCACATGGTCCGTTAGGTCCGTTAGATCGTTCGATGAGTCTTTCTAAGCTCACTCTCTAAATCAACATTTGGAGAGCCATTTGCATAAAAATCACTTTCTATATCTTTCTACTCTCCAACAGTCTTTGTATAGTTTGTGTGCACTCTAGGGAGCCATTCTCATATTCTATCTTTGGATAGCGAGAAATCCGATATAGAGGATGGCTATATTTTGCTCTTTGGTTTCACAGTCAGTACAATCAAGTCAGTTCAATTTACAATACACTATGTGAGAGGGAGCACATATATTCTTGATATTGTGATACTTATGCCAAATTAGACCTGATCAAACACCGGGTTTGGTCAGACTAGAAAACATGTTCGAGTTAAAATCTTTGGCCTAAGCCTTATCCGACGCACTAGCAGGTCGGGCAAAATTCTCTTAGGTTTTTTTGAGTTGAATTGAACCATGGATCGAAAATCGTAGTCCGAACCTGACTCAATGCACTGACGGATCATGTTAGAACCCTAAACCCTGCAACACCAAGGATGGGACCTGCTACTTCGCCTAAGCCATAAAACTTGGCCCGGCATGGAGGCTGCTGGCTAGGCACGCTTTCCACACGCCAACGATCTTCACCTACCACCTTGCCGAAATTGGATTCACTCCTACTTACTCATTATTACTCTCATCTCAAGCTTCTCAACCCAACCCCACTCCTCCCTTCTCATTTCAACTCCTCTTCACCTTTCACTTCCTTCCTCAACGCCCGCTCCTCCCTTCTCGTCTCAACTCGTCTCCACCTTTTACTTTCTTCCTTTGCTTCATTTGCTTGTCTCAATCGTTGGAGACGGGATCAGGTGTGTCAGGCACCGACCGATGCTCAGTTCATTGGGTTTCATAGCTTAATGAATTATCTGCCTAGGCTCAACATTACTATGTTCTTCGCTTGAGCCATAAAACTTGGCTTGTCATGGAGGCTGCTAGCTAGGCGGGCTTTCCACACTCCAACGATCTTCGCCTACCACCATGCCGAAAGTGGATTCACTCCTACTTCTCATTATTGCTCTCGGCTCAAGCTTCTCAACCTAGCCCCCGCTCCTCCCTTCTCGTCTCAACTCCTCTCCACCTTTCACTTCTCTCCTCAACCCCTGCTATTGCTTGCTTCTTGTCTCAACTCCTCTCTATCTTTCACTTCCTTCCTTTGCTTCATTTGCTTGGATCAATCGCCGGAGATGGGATTTGGTGTCAGGGACCGATCAATCCTGCGTTCTTTGGGTCTCGTAGCTTAATTAATTATCCGCTCAGGCTCAGCATTACTACGATCTTCACCCGAGCCATAAAACTTGGCCTGGCATGGAGGCTGCTGGCTAGGTGAGCTTTCCACACTCCAACGATCTTCTCCTATCACCTTGCTGAAACTGGATTCACTCCTACTTACTCCTCATTTTTGCTCTTGGCTGAAGCTTCTCAACCCAGCCCCTGTTCCTCTCTTCTCATCTAAACTCATCTCCACCTTTCACTTCCTTCCCTTGCTTCATTTGCTTGGCTCAATCGTCAGAGATGGGATCAGGTGTTAGGCATCAGCCAATCCTTCGTTTGTTGGGTCTCGTAGCTTAATTAGTTATCCGCACTGGCTCAGCATTAGTACGGTTCTTCGTCTGAGCCATAAAATTTGGTCCGACATGGAGGCTACTGGCTAGGTAGGCTTTTCACACGCCAACGATCTTCCCCTACCACCTTGCCGAAATTGGATTCACTTCTACTTACTCCTCATTATTGCTCTCGACTCAAGCTTCTCAACCCAGCTTCTGCTCATCCCTTCTCATCTCAACTCCTCTTCACCTTTCACTTCCTTCCTCAACCCCCGCTCCTCCCTTCTCGTCTCAACTCCTCTCCACCTTTCACTTCCTTTGCTTGGCTCAATCACCGAACACGGGATCAGGTGTCAGGCATCGGCCGATGCTCCGTTCATTAGGTCTCATAGCTTAATTAATTATCCGCTCAGGCTCAACATTACTATGTCCTTTGCCCATGCCGTAAAACTTGGCCCGGCATGGAGGCCGCTGGCTAGACGGGCTTTCCACACGCCAATGATCTTCGCCTAGCACCTCGCCGAAACTAGATTCACTCCTACTTACTCCTCATTATTGCTCTCGGCTCAAGCTTCTCATCCCAGCCCCGCTCCTCCCTTCATGTCTCAACTCCTCTTCACCTTTCACTTCCTTCCTTAGCCTCCGCTCCTACCTTGTCTCAACTCCTCTCCACTTTTCACTTCCTTCCTTTGCTTCATTTTCTTAACTCAATCGCCAAAGCTGACATGGCAATATGGCCCACATACCTTAACCTTGTATGAATTGCCTCCTCGTTTTAGCTCTTCACATTAACTAGATAATCTAAAATTTGAAGTTATTGCTTTACTATGAAGTATGCTATTTCATAGCTTGTGGTATTGCTCTGTAAATTATGAATTATGAAGTATGCCAAGTGCATATATTGCAGCATTGCATTTGCACTTTTTTTGTTGAGATGCATTTGAAGAAACCATAGCCGGATTGATATGATAAGTATCGGTACAACAATGGACGTTGAAATAAGCAATATGGTTGTAGCCCTCACTTTCTCTCTCTCTTTGGGAAGCGTGGGTAGAAGTGAAGTCATGCATTGCATTGCATCATCGGCATTTGCACCATGAAATACAACTTATGAAGTATTTGATGTTTTTATTATTGTTGTTTATATTTGTTGATTAATTGAACTGTGATTTGAATAGGTTAATTAAAGCAGTTTGTTTCCTGAGGTTTTTTCTGAGGTTTTTCTTAAACCTCATATGCTTGTTCCCAATCTTAGGCACATGAACTTCAAAAATGCTTGGCGGGATGGGAATAGCGCACAAGTGCACACTTATTGATATACATCACAAATAAACACATATGTTGTAATAAAGTTTCTCTCTTTTATCGTGTAATCAGTGACGGATCTAGGATGAAATCTAGGAGGGGGGGGGGCTTAAGTTCACATGGGGACAAAGGCATCAAGCTCAGCTCAACACTCTAGCATCGTTTTCAACCTCAGCTCAACGCTCGAGCTCCTCCTTTCTATCCTCCAATGGCAGAAAAAATTAGGGGGGGCTCCATAGGCTCAGCCACGGTAGGGGGGGGGGCTCGAGCCCCCCAAGCCCCGGTGGCAGATCTGCCCCTGCGTGTAATCTATATAATCGTTGATGCTAACGCATTCTCCATTGTTGTGTTCTTGTCAAAGAGTAGTGTAATAATACTTCAGAAAGTTGTTGTTGTTTTCTTGTGGGACGTTACAGTAGTGGTAAGAGTTAAGAGCGAAATCAATGATGCAGTGCAACTTGCAATAAGAGAAACACGTTGTGTCAATAGCCTCTCGTATATAGCTAAGCCTATGTGAATGGATAAGACAGTGTAAAACTGTAAATCAATCCTTTCACTTTTGAAACAAAATCGACTAGTTTTATTTGATAATAAGGTTGGTTGCTAACAAACACGCAAAACCTTTTTGATATACTATATATTGAAGTACACACATAAAATTACCTCTCCC